AATAGATGTTCTCTAGGCCTTTTAGAAAACATGGAGTGATTCCTTTGGCAACATACATGCGAGTCTACAAGAAAGGTGATATTGTAGACATGAAAGGAATGGGCACTGTTCAAAAAGGAATGCCCCACAGATGTTACCATGGCAAAACCAGAAGAGTCTACACTGTTACCCAGCATGTTGTTGGGTTTGTCATAATCAAAGAGGTTAAGGGCAAGATTCTTGCCAACAGAATTAATGTGCATACTGAGCACTGTAAGCTTTCTAAGAGCAGAGATAGCTTCCTAAAACGTGTGAAGGAGAATGCCCAGAGCAAGTAGGAAGCCAAAGAGAAAGGGACCTGGGTTCAACTAAAGTGCCATCCTGCTCCACCCAGAGAAACCCACTTAGTGAGAACCAATGGGAAGGAGCCTGAGCAGAGTGGAACCTATTCCCTAGGAATTCATGCTATGATGGGTGTTAAAAAGAAACTTAACTAGGGTCTATTTAAAGCAAACAAAAAGAAAGCCTTTCCAGCAGTGAAAACCTCCCCATGAGAACATGCCTCTCTGAAAGGACCTCCTTCGTCCCTCTCCAGAAGAGAAGAGGAAACACAAGAAGCGCCTGGTGCAGAGCCCAAATTCCTACTTCATGGATGTGAAGTGCCCAGGATGCTACAAAATCACCACCATCTTTAGCCATACACAAACGGCAGTTTTGTGCATTGGCTTCTTCACTGTCCTCTGCCAGCCTCCAGGAGGAAAAGCAAGGCTTACAGAAGGATGTTCCTTTAGGAGGAAGCAGTACTAAAAGCATCCTGACTCAAGACGGGTGGGAAACCATCCCAATAAACACATTCTGGATTAAAAAAAGAAGAAAAAGAAAAGAAGAGTTGAATCCCACATGGCAAGACCACATAGTTCAAATCCTAGCCCTCATGGTAAGACATGTCCGACCCGCAAGGTGTGTGCACAGTCACACATGTTAATTTTAGTATTACTATCCTAGCCCTCATGGTAAGACATGTCCGACCTGCAAGGTGTGTGCACATAGTCACACATGTTAATTTTAGTATTACCCAAGCTGTGCTTTGTACTTCAGTGGCAGTTAAGTTCTAGGAGGGACAGTACAGACAGCAAAGCCTAAGATGTTAATTTTATGTTTTATAATGGAAAGTTTGCTGACCTCTGATGTCTAAGTTAGACTTTCCTAAAAACTTGGTGGAATTTGGAGTCAATATAAAGAAGAAAAAAAAAATGGCTATTGCAAAAGAACAGGGAAAAGAATCTATATAGGTGAAGGTGAATTAGTAGTTTGTTGTTGAAAAGGTGAGAAAGGTTGACTATTGGATTTCTGGAAAGACCACTCAAACACCTGATGGTCAAGCAAAGCAACCAATTAAGCTTTTGATAATAAGGGAAAACACAATCCTGATAGATTCTTTAGTGCTTCAAAATGGAGGTATCAGGAAAAGATATTCATAGAGTTTAGAGCCTAGGCTGGGAGGTTTTAAGGTGGGTCTTAGAAGTGATAAAACTACTTAAAATGGAATCTTTTTTGGATATTATGAATGTAATAACAATACACACACAACAAAAATGTATGAAAATATGGTGGAATCTTTTTTGGATATTATGAATGTAATAACAATACACACACACACACACACACACACAACAAAAATGTATAAAAATATGGCTTAAGTCTGTTACATATAGTCTGGCAAGTATGCGTCATGACTTTTCCGACAGCCCAATAAGATAACTGGATGTTGATAACTTGCAGAGTTCTCGGGGGAAGGGTGCATTCAGATGCCTGTACTGTGGAGGAAGACGCAGACATTCTCTATAATGATGTGAGTTTTCAGAGTTACTCTCACGTTTTGAGCCCAGTAATTGTTTATAGAGCTGGCCTGCACATTGTAGGATATATGGTGATATAAATGTTGGATTCCAGAGTTTTTTTAGCTGATAATTTTCAATGATTAGACATGTGTATATTGGATTTTAAACAGTAATTGCATAATTACGTTTTGCTAAATGCTTTCACATTTCCTTATATAATGAATCATGTCTTTTCCTCAGTGAATTGGACAGGAGTTTCAGAACTATTGCTCTAGTCTTTATTTTAGTTCCACCTCACTTACCTAATTCCCCTGTCTCAGATCAGAGCTACTATCCCCAGTCTTGTGATTCACGGGGAAGATGTACAATAACCTTTTCTCTTTTTTTATTAAATAGTTCTTTTTAAAAAATGATTATTTCATTTATGTATGTATCTATTTCAGTTTGACCAGAGAGGGACAGAGTGAGTGAGAGAGAAAGTGAGAAAGCAAGCTGCCAGGTCCAGGACTTGAACTGTGGTCAACCATGTGGGAGTCCAGGACCCTTAACCAGTACACTACCTGCCAGCCCCATACAATGACCTTTCTCTAAGCTTACATCTTCAAAAAAAAAAAAAAAAAAAAAAAGGAAAGGAAATTTTAAAAACTCACTTTTTTTTTTGGAGAGATTTTCGCTATAGGGCACATGCACTCGCCAGACAGAGAGAGACATAGAGACAGAAAGCGAGAAATCACCCCCCAGGGGGGACAGTCATGCCGCAATCCCTTCTCCTCCATTCTCGTCTCAGGATCTTGGGCACGCACGCACACGCGCCCGGCGTGAGTTTTAAGCCACTGGGTCCGGGACGTGAACTGCGGTCAACTACGTGGGAGTCCAGCGACATAGCCATTAAGCTAACTGCTGGTTCCCAAAACTCACGTTTTTAAAAGCAAATTTTGAGAATTCCAAATGATTGATTAAAAATTTGTCCCCTGGCTAGACTGTGGCCTGGTGATTAAGGGATCTGGATAATACATGACTGACAGCCCAGTTCAAGTCCCAGACCTGGCACCTTGAAAAACATACTAGGTTTGTTTAAGTGCATGCCTAAAATCTGAAAGTAGATAGAAATAGAGAAGAGGCTGCAGCATAACCATTCCCCACGAGGGGTGCTTCTTCTCCTTCCTCTATATCTTTCTCTGGCAAGCCCACATATCTTCTGGCAAATTAGAAAAAAATAAATTGTCCTCTGAAGACAAATAAGACAGACCTCAGAATCAACAAAAGCAAGTTTCTTTTATATGCCCTTTGCTCCCTTTTATTCTGCTCATCCTAAAAGAATTTAACAACAATGTACCAGACTGTATCTACAGAGGAACATGTGAAATAAAAAAAATAAAAAATAAAAAAAGCTTTACTTCATATAAATAATAGTTTGTGGGCTGACCACATAGCACAGTGCTTAAGCTCTGTGTACAGGGAGCTGGATTCCACAGAGCTGACTACAGTTAGAGTCCTGGCCCTAGCCTCAGCAACTTGAAAATCAGGTCAGATGAATGTGTGTGCATGTTCACAATCCTGAAGCCATGGAGAAACACAGCGAAGGGACTATGGTATGACCACGCCCCACTGAAGGGTACTTTCTCTCCACCTTGGCTATGAACAAATTGATGTATGGGGCCAAAAGATAGCATGATGATTAGGGCACTGGAATCCCACATGGCCAACCACAGTTTGAGTCCTGAATCTGGTGGCTTGCTTTCTCACTTTCCCCCTCACTCTGTCTCTTTCTGGTGAACACATGTGTCCTGCAGCAATTGAAATAAATAAATAAATAAATAAATTTCTTTTTAAAAATTGACCTATATTTTTAGATTTGAAAATTGAACCACTATTCTAACTGTGCTTGTTACAATATATTCCTATAAAATAAGAATTAAGATCTTTAGATTTGAAAATTGAACCACTATTCTAACCATGCTTGTTACAATACATTCCTATAAAATAAGAGTTAAGACAGTGCTTACTTTTACATGTGACAATCTATAATACATTTATTTTCTTTCTTTTTTTTTAAGAGAGACTTTTGTTATAGGGCACAAGCACTCACCAGTGAGACAAGAGAGACAGACAGAAAGCAAGAAGTCACCCCCCAGGAGGGATGACCATGCCGCAATCCCTACTTCCTAGATACTTAGCAGGTATGTGGCCTTTGGAAAATTAAATCAGCCTAGCATTCGTTCTTACGTCTGGGTGATAAGATTAATTCATACTTACAGATGGCTTAAATTATTAAGAAAGCTAAAGTATGGTCATTGTCTCACGTCAAAAATCTCTGTATAACTGTTTTGTTTTCTTCTTCTCAGTATCAGATAATCACCCCTGAGCAAAAAAGTAGGATAAAACATTTTTCAGTGGATTATCAGAGAAAGAAGAGAACAGATACATCATTACAATATCACTTATGTGTTGCAAACCACTGAACTATCAGGTCTCGCCTTTTTTCTAAATAATTATTTACTTACTTTTATTTATCATTATTATTGTTTTTGATTTGCTATAGGGCACATGCACTCCTCAGAGTGAGAGAGAGAGAGAGAGAGAGAGAGAGAAACAAACCACCAGGTCTGGGACTCGAACTGCCGTCAGGCATATGGGAATCCAGTGCCTTAATTACCGTGCTCCTGCTGCCAGGCTTCATGTAAGAAATCTAATTTTCCTTGTCAGATAGAGAAGTAGAAAAGAATATTTGAATAATATCATTGTAAAACAGTCACATTTCCCACAAAACTTCCTGGCCACCGAGATTAACTATCTAGGGAAAATTATTATTCTTTATTTGTAATAAATATTAGCAAGTCTTGAAACACAATCAGTAACAGAATGCCTTAATGTGATTGGATCCTGGGGAAAGTCATGATGCATTTTTGCATAGAAAAATAGTATAACCAATTCTGAAAATGTTTTCAAAACTGTGCCTAGAGTCCTTAACCTAGTTCTAAGGAAGCCAGACAATATTTCTTCTCTGATTTTCCAGTCCTGTGATAAGTATGTATTTGTCATTCTAATTAGTGTAGGGCCTTCCAGTTAGGAACATTCATGATTCAACTTAAATGTATCCTCTTCCAGTACACAGGTTTTGAATGGCACATGAATGCAAAGGCTTTGGGGTATTAAACCGGATTCTTACTCATAGAAGTCTTTTAATAGAGTACTTTATATAAATTCTTTCACAAAGTCTTGCTCTTAACTTTCTGGGCCTTTGTGGTTTGGATTTCACAGAAAGATTAAGAGCTAACAGCAATATTATGGTTAGGAACCTGAGGGGAGGAAATAGTGAGAGAGTCTGAATTTATGTCTCTATCAGGGAAACAAAGAGAAAATACAGGCCTAACAGCACCTTGGAAGGCAAGATAAGAGAAGTTATAAATGAGAGATTTCTCCGTCACATTATAGAACGATACTTGCCCATACTCATAGTCTAAGAAAACTCCAACTTGGTGCATTTGCTGTCTCATTGAGACCTTTTTCAAAGGAGGAGAGACCCACAAGGTAAAATCGGTCCCCATTATGGATCCGGTGAGTAAGACTTGATCTCCAGAAGCTTTGGGCATGTTGGCCCTTCTGTCTGCAGAGCCTTGGTATATGCCCAACTGCCACCTTGTTGCCTTCTCCACATCCACCTCCCAATAGTGCCTCCCGGAAGAGAAGCGTTCCACACCCAACACAGTGGCACTGAAGTCCAGTCCCTGTGGGTGGCCAGGCATATCTTGCGGAGTGTTTCCAAATCTTACGCTTCTCAGGTCTTCAGATAAGACCAGGCAGGGATGAGCTGTTTCAGAATCCAAAGTTATATTTCCTGTATGGAGAGACAAATTTAGTTAATCTAGGGGTTCCTCAATGCCAATGCTAGAGATGAAATTCCTAACAGGCAGGGACTTCCCAGTGAGTGTGCACAAGTCTCATGTGCACATTATGGTGAGGCAATTTTGGGGGCTCAGCTTTGTGCCAATGGATGGACACTACAGAGAAAGTCAGTCAATAGATGATGGAAAGGGTTCTACACCATCTACCTGACGTGGAAGAACCAAGGACTAACAGGCTAAGGAGAGGTTGGGATGTACCTTCAACTCTGAGGCTATAAAATTTTCTTGGTAACTGGTCCCACCCAGATATCACCAAGGACCCAATTCTAGGATCTTGAAGACTTTTTTCCTAAGCTTGGAACAGGCAGAAGCACTGAGCTTGCTAGGTGAGCAGCTGATTCATGGCTCTTCCCCCTGATCTACTCTACTCACTTAAGTATTCCCTGAATGTGGCATAGATTCGTAGAAACTGCTGACAGCAAGCTTTTGATATGAAGTAAATCAACAGAAAATATATTAATGGAGGCTAGAAAACCTGTGAGAATCCACCAGAAAAATCAAGCTGAGAACAAGAAAGCTCAATGAGATTTCTCATACTTGGATGACTCTATGCCTTCACTCTGTTTGTTTGTTTGTTTATTTGTTTTTTCAATGGAAACAACTTTTCTCCCTTCCTGACCCCTCTGGAATTGGAAGATATTTGGGAGTATTCTTATTTGTGGCAGAAGGGTTATTTGCATAAGTTCAATAA